GAAATAAACAGGAATTTCAGTCCCTTCCTCATAATGGCCTGCGAGTAGGAACTGTTTTCCCAGCGCTGCTGTCYGTGCCCTCGGCGGGCCGTGCTGCGGGCTCGCCACTAACTCTCTGCGTTTCCTCCAGATCCCGACACAGTCACCGTCCCTCGCCCGGGGAAGCCGGCGTGGGCAGAAGACCATGGGTAATCCACTTTTCRATACTAACTGGGAATCCTTTCGCTCGGGGAAGTAAAACCAGCCCGGGAGGGAAGGGAGGAGAGGGAAGGCATGGAGAAGGAAGCAAAGCAGGCAAAAAATCTCACGTAGGCATTGAACGTGGCTCCCCCTGAACTAGGGGCGGAGGAGACAGCTCTGCCGGCGGGCTGGGGTCAGCGCCAGCCCCGCGCCCTCCCCGGGCTGCAGCCTGTCCGCTTGTGCGGCCCCTGCCCGCTGTCAGCTGCGGGGCCCGGCGGCCTCCTCCGGCTTGCCTTTGCCCCCCGTCCCTCCCGGGCCGCACTGGGCACCTTAAGGGGGGCTGTGTTAGAGCTGTGTAGCCCCAAAGTTCCGCAGATAGAGGAGCATGTGTTCAGCCACACGCCAGTTGTGCTCGGAGACACAGGCTTTGCTGTTTCCATCCGTCCATTTTATTAGGGACACATTAATCTATAATCAAATACACCTCATAAAATTTTTATTGAAAGGCATAAAATCATTACAGAGGTCTTCCACCTGTTTTAAAACAACACAATGGGCATCTCTTTTTAAAAGTGTATTCTTTCCATGGAAACTTTCTGTCCGGGGGTGGAGGGAGYGGATAATAATACCCGCACATGCTCTGAAATATGGAAGTACCGCAATGTGCTTTAACTGTAACATTTTCCTGTTTTATGAGAAGTCGTTACAGTCCCAGCTTGCGATGGTTTGTTTTTACAGGCAAGAATCCCCCTTTCCCAGCGGGTTCCCTCAGCAGCTTGGAGTGTGATTAGCAAGCCAAGGCTGTTGGATTTATTTAAACACCCTGCCTCTCATTGATTAAGAAATGAATGGCAGAAATCACTCAGAGAAGGTGAAGAAATAGTCCGCACCCGCCGCGGCCGTGGGCTGCCAGCGCGGCCACGCCCGCCGCGCCCCGGGCAGGCAGGGCAGACAGGCGGGCAGCAAAGGCGGGCGGGCGAGCAGGGCACGCAGGCGAGCGGGGCGAGCAGGGCACGCAGGCGAGCGGGGCGAGCAGGGCACGCAGGCAAGCGGGGCGAGCAGGGCACGCAGGCGAGCGGGGAGGGGAGGGCAGGGCAGGACGGGCAGGGCGGACGGGCAAGCGGGCACGCAGGGCTGGCAGGGCGGGCAGGGCGGGCGGTCCCGGCGCGGTGCGGGGGCGCAGGCGGTGCGGCGCGCCGTGCGGGGACGTTGTTGATGATGATTTTTTTTTTTTAATCACAGCAGCCCCAGTTTAGCGGATTGATTTACTCGCAGTATTGGTAAATATGATCACGTGGGCTCCGCAACCAATGGTTGAGGGTTGCAGTCTGCAAAATACTACGATTGTTCTCCGGGAGGGTATCATATACAGTTAACAGTGTAACCTTTTATATGACTAAGAGGGGAGCCTAAAATGTCGTCTAGTGGCACCATAAGTAACTATTATGTCGATTCTCTCATAGGCCATGAAAGCGAAGAAGTTTATGGGAGTAGATTCGTCCAGGGAGGTCACAGTGCGACCTCCAGGCCATCAGGTGTTGCAGAGAGTTCAGATTTTTCCTCTTGTAGCTTTGCACCAAAATCCACCGTGTTTTCCACCTCCTGGTCCACTGTTCACCACCAGCCGTCTGCGGCAATGACCGGGATCTACCACCCTTACATGCACCAGCCCCACTTAGGGGCAGCCGACGCCGGCCGCTACGTTCGCTCCTGGATTGAGCCCTTCCCGGGCTTCCCGGGCGGCGGCGGCGGCGGAGGAGGAGGCGGCGGCAGCGGAGGCAGCGGCAGCGGCGGCTCCGCGTCCAGCTCCGGCTCCTCCAACGGGCGCCACTACGGGATAAAGCCGGAGACGGGAGCAGCCGCCTCCTCGTCTTCCTCCTCCTCTTCCTCCTCCTCCAAAAGGACTGAGTGCTCCTCGTCCCGGGAGTCCCAAGGGATCGGTGTGCCCGAGTACACGTGCAGCTCCTTCCTCCAGGAGCCCCGGGAGAAAGCGCCTGCCGGCAGCTCCAAGGACCCCGCCGCCTGCAGCCACAACCCCAGCCCAAGCAGCGATCTGAAGGAGGAGAAACAGCAGCAACTTGACCCAAGTAAGTAAAAAAAAAAAGAAAAAAAACCCCAAAAAAACCCAAAACCACGCAAGAGAAAGAAAATAAAAGAAAAATAAAAACAAAGCAAAACGGGGAATGGGGGGGACAGAGAGAAGAATAGAGACAGGGATAGAGGCAGAGAAAGAGGGAGAAAAAGAAAGAAAGAGAGAAGGAAAGAGAGAAGGAAGGAAGCAAAGCAAGAAAGGAAGGAAGAAAGAAAGAAAGAGAGAGAGAGAGAGAGAAAGAAAGAAAGAAATTGCCCCTTTGATTTATTGCCGAAACCTGTAAGGCTCGAATGTGCAAAACTGATAGTTTTACTAACCTATAAAAACGTCTAGACGCCTACCCCAGTGCAAGCAGCAACAAGCACCCATAAAAGACTCCACATAACCACCTACCATCAAGACATCATTTGTACAGTAAACAGACTGGGGCATTAAGACTTTTATGATAATTCCTCCAAAGTTGTGAAAACAGTCCATCCTTCGTTAAATTAATTTAACGACCTTTCTCCCCCCCCCCCCCCCCCCCCCCCCCCCCCCCCCCCCCCCCCCCCCCCCCCCCCCCCCCCCCCCCCCCCCCCCCCCCCCCCCCCCCCCCCCCCCCCCCCCCTTTCCCCTCTTTCCCTTCTTTTTTTCTTTTTTTTTTTTTTTTTTTTTTTTAATAGAAGTGAAACGTGGTCTATGTCAGGTATTTTGGGAAATTTTGTCTTGCTCGACAACGTGTTTTTCAGAGTCTCTTGATACTCCCCTCTTTCTTCCTAGACCATTTAGATGACAATATTGTGAGTGCACGTTAGCTTTGGGAGCTTTATATGATGTTAAATGTTGGACATGTTTCTTAAAAGTGATGTAGACTAGATAGTTATTTTGCCAAAATAAAGGTGAGGAAATTAATTATAATTACGATAATAAAATACATAATAAATTACAGTCGCTTAAATCAGTGGGGGTTGCTGTGCTGTCCACCATCTACTAAGAGGAGATCTTTCCCCAAACTTCTGCTTTCTAGGTCTGAATCCTTCGCAATAGATGCCACAGAGAGGCCACGAGCTACTTCCCCCCCTCCCCTCCCAGTGCACTGTTAGGAGGTTKTCTTATCCTTGGAGCCGCTCGCCACAGGCCTAACGCCTCCCGGTCCCCGGCTCGCTGCCGTCCCTGCCCCCGGTGACTGTTGTATTAATTACCCGCCCCATGTCTCGAGCTACGGACCTGTTGTAATTGTTGTCAGTTATTACACAATAAAGTCTGCCGTGACCGAACGACAGCGCTGCGGTGAGAGGAGAAATCTGTGCGCCCCTCGCAATGCGCCCCGCGCCGCCGCGCAGCCCCCGCGGCCCGAGGGACGGGGACGGGGACGGGGCTGCGGGGAAGCCGGGCCTCGCTGCCGGCGGGCAGCCCCTCTGGCACCCTCCCTGGCCTCGGCCGGCCCGCTTTGCTCTAGCGGTCAGTGCCGAGAGGCCGGGTAGGTGCGCCCGCAGCCGGGCCTCAGGTACCAGCGCTCTTTCAAACCTCAGAGATCCCTTGGGACCGTTTAGGAAACGTTTTCACAGCAGTCCCCAGCTGCCGAGGAAGCACAATAATGCCTATTCGGTTAAATATGTTTTTTATTTTTTATTTTTTTAATAATTTTTCCCTAACTGGTGCGTCGCTTCTAATCTCTGTGCTCCCCAACTGGGAAGATGGAAGCTCTGGTGGGGGGGACACGGCTGCTGCCAAACGTTCGACTTTGTTGGGCTCATTTAGCAACGCACCTCATGCCTTCTGCATTTATAAACACACATGGCTTTATCAAGATAATTGAGATGAAGTTCATTGTAAAAAATGCTTTGTTTAAAGAGCAACCATTAAAATGAAGGACCCGTAAATATTTACGAACAGTTCTGTTAATTCAAGATTAAGGGGAGAGCTGAGAGACCTGGTGTTTAATGTTTTTAACCTCTGGA